CAATCCTCCTCTTTGAAAGGATCCGAGTTGTTGAGACTTGAACCTGATGAATAAATACACGACTGTAAAACTTATGAGAATATTTAGTTTTTATATTCACAGTAGGCCTTCAACGCTACTTATAAAAGAAATCCATTATAAAATGCAAACTCTCGAGCTCAACATTTGTATATTGATTCATGAAATTATGTGTTAACCTGGTCCTCAGTTGTCAAGCAAGTAGATCTGACAAGATACAAATAATATAATAAATTATTCGAAATCTCGATGATGGTTCCTTTCACAAACAATCTCAATCGGAGAAGATTTTATCATTAAAATTTCATTCCCAAGATTCCCCTAAATTTCAAAGTTAATCACTTGGGGCTTAAATTTCAATAAAATTTAAAAATTAAATGTATCAAAATTTAAATGTTTAAAGTGAATTAATCACTTAAAACTTAAAACAAAATTTATCCACTCTTCACAATCATTTAGTGAGGGTGATAAATTCAAGAATAATCTCAACTCACAATGTACGAATGTCAAGTCGTGAGAATCACTAAGATTTATTCTTAGTTAATCTCTTTATTCTCAAATAATCTCTCCCAATTAAGGACGCGTTACATATCCTTTAATCGGTGGTTTGGCTGTAAAATGACTATATATGTAAACAATTATGATCGGGGCCATCTGATTAGGTGGTTTTGCAGCGAAATGACACTATTATATTATGATTAGAACCAATGCTAATATGCTCCCCAATGACTCAAAATCCATGATTAAGGAATTATAGAATATGCTTGATATGTCAGAAAACTCTATGTTAGTTAAGGCTAACTTGAATTTGTCTTAGACAAACACTTACCTCATGTCTATATGGTACCCTTACAAAGCTGCCCGTGGCTGCTGATGAGGATTCTTCTGTTAGTTGGGCCGACTATCTCCTTTGATTAAGTAGACTAGACACAACAAGAATTTGGGATGATAAAACCATGGTTTTTGATTCAGTTCATTATCATTCCCTCACAAACCGCTTTAAGTGCAAGGTGATAATTTTAATTCCTATAAATTCAAAAATGTTGCAATTATATGCTCGATAGTTAGTGCTTATTTAACCATTAGCCTTAATTTAAAGTTCTCTCTCATAACCAGGAGAGATAATTAACCATATGGTGCTTGCACCTATGGAATACCTAAAAGCAAATCATAAAGTCTTTGTAAAATGAGGGTGAAATCTCTGGGTAATGTATTATCTCAAATCTAATTTACTTTTGAAAATTTGACTTGGAACATTTCCGTCAAAACCTCCCCAAAATGTAGAGAGGTCGGGACGTGAATTTTCGGATCTCACTTGTAGCTAAATCTCTTTATTAGCATATTTGTAGAATTATGAGTTATCAAAATCAATATGATCTTCATGAATTCTTTAATCACCACATCCCTCATGAAATGAAATTTCACATCCACATGTTTTGTTCTTTTATTATGAATATGATTTTTGACCAAACAAACATCTTGACTGTCATAGTAAATAGGCACTTATATGTAGAACACATCAACCCTTTTATCTAGAGGGCTTCTTACATAACTTTAACCACAGATATGTATTCTGATTCTTAGGTTAGCAGTGCCACCATGGATTGTAAACATGCTTCCTAACAGACTATATTTCTAAAGGCTTTAAACATAAAATTTTTCAATGATTTTCTGATGTCCACATTTGCTTTAAAATCAGAATCATTTGATGGGGATTGATCTTTGCTTAACTCATATGCCGAGCCAAAGGTGTTAGAACAATATGTGAACCTTGCATTTTAAACCTATTAAGCACCATTTTCAAGTAGAAGTTTGGCATATAATTTTTTTTTAGATTCTATTTTCTTTATCTCCAATTCAAGTATCTTCTTTGTAAGGCTCATTTCAAACTTATCTTGAACCATACTTTTAACTCTTGATATTTCTACTATGTTTTTACTAGTAATTTGCTTGCTATCAACATATAATAGGAGAGAAAATTTTCTTAAAACTCCATGATTTATTTTCAGTATGCTTTCACTAGTAAGAAGTATGTCATCTACATATAAAAGAAAATCAAATATTTTTAAAAGTCTATGATTCTTTTATTAAGCACAAGAATCATAATATATTATTTTAAAATCAATCTTCAACATGTATTCATCAAATTCATGTACCATTTTTTTGTATGTTTGCTTTAGACCATAGAAAATGTTAACTTGAATTATGGAAGTGGCTTTTGTTTGAGTAGATCTAAAACTGAATATATGGAGTGTAATTTTAGTAATAATAGATCTAGTGGGGGGATTGTGACTTTGGGCGATCAAGTCATTAATAAGAGCACACGTTTTAGACGTATTGGGTCTATTGTTTTGAGTGATGGTGAAATAGATGGGGGTATTATTAGTAGAATTCAAGTTGGATGGTTGAAGTGGAGGAATGCATCGGGCTTGTTATGTGATAGAAAAGTTCCTCTCAAACTTAAAGGAAAAATTCTATAATGGTATTGAGACCTGCACTGTTTTATGGTGCAGAATGTTTGCTATTAAAAGAGAAGCATAATATTAAGTTAAGTGTTACAGAGATAAGGATGCTCAGGTGGATGAGTGGCTTTACTCTTAAAGACGGGATACAAAATAAGCATATACGTGAAAAGGTTGGAGTAGCTCCAGTGGAAGATAATATTAGAGAGAGTCGCCTTAGATGGTTTGGTCACATAAAACGATGGCCTTCTTATGATCCGGTTAGGAAAGTAGATGTATTAGATTTGACTTATATTGAGAAAGGTAGTGGTAGACCTAAAAAGACTTGGTTAGAAAATATTAGAAATGACTTTTCTTTATTAGATTTAGATGAGAATTTAACTCTTAATAGGACATAATGGAGAAAAATGATTCATATAGCTAACTCCATATAGTGGGATAAATGCTTGTTTCTATTGTCGTTTTAGACCATAGCAAGAACTTTCAAGAAGATATACCTAATTTTTTAGTTCCCATTTCAATTTAACCTATGTTATTTAATTTATATATATTTTCTTTGAACTCTCCATGAAGAAATGCCATCTTTATATTCATTTTCTCAAGCTCCTTGTTTAATTTAGTTACTATGACCAGTAATATCCTGATTGATGTGTGCCTCACAATTGGAGAGATTGTTTCATTGTAGTTCACACATGGTGCGAAGCCTTTTGCAACTAGTCTTGCTTTGAATCTAATTTCTTCACATTCAACAAAACTTTCATTATTTTTGAACAACCATGAGCAACTAATTACCTTTTAGTGCTTTGGTCCTTCCACCTATTCCCATTCCCAAGTGTTGTTCTACTCCAATGAAAACTTTTCTACTTGCATAACTTGCTTCCATTGACTTATTTCATGACTCTCCATGGTTTCTTGGTAGGAATTTTGTTCATTTTCATTCATTAAATTTGTAAATAAAGCATGTGCTGCGAGAGCAACATGACCATACTTCACAGATCCTGGAAAACACACCGAGTTTTTTCTCTTGCTAATACATAAGTTCTTTTCTAGCTTTCTTCGATAGTTCACTTTTCTGATTCTTCTTAATGTGCTTCAGCCGGTTCTTGATCGTTAACATCATAATTTTCTTGGCCTGGTTGCTCAAACTCATGGCCCATTATCTCTCTAGCATCAGTTAGACTCTAGAGGATTGCAACATATTTGTCTAGCACTTGTAGTTTCAAGGCAACATTAACAATTAGGGAAGTCATCGGTGGATGTGCACATAAGGCTCAAGAATAGTTCACATGTGGCATAAAGAGGTAGAGAAGTAGAGGGAAAGAAAGAAATTCTCCTTAGAATTGACTTCAAACTCATCGCTTATATTATTACATTCTTAGGTATTTGTAGAATTTATTCCTATGTCCATATAAAAGGCTATACAATATGAAAACAATAATTGGAGTAACTAACCTATAGTCATCATAATTGAAACTGGTGGGTTATTACAGAAGCAATCTTCAAGCAAACACTAATAAAATTTTAGAATTCTTAATTAAGTCCTGTAATGGTTGTATTTTACATATACAGCTGAAGCTTGAAAGGGAAAAATAAATTCAAGTTTTTAGTGATGATAGTCATAACATCAAGACTAATCCCACAATCACTAGTGAAAAGGCCAAGCTCAAGTTACATTGGCAGATATGCTCTACTTTTTTTCTCTGATCTCTCCAGTCTTTGTTTATTTACTATTAAACAACTTCATTCACGATTATGAGAAGGGAAATTTTATAAGACTGTATGGCTATATTGGAATGTATCCCACCTTGCTATGTTTGTAATGAAACCTTATATGCTTTTGTGTTATTTTAGAGAAGTAAATACTTGGTAGCTAGCTGGTTTCATGACCATATGGAGTTGATATGGTCAACTCTAGTATTTCTGCAGAATTCCTTGACTTAAGGTAAAAATTCGTGGAGATTTTCTTTCATGGTATGCCACACAATTGCGGAAGCAATACACTTAACTGTAGCGCTGAATTGGCTAAAGCGAATGGATAAATTTTTATTTTTTTCTGCTTCACTGGATCATTTTGTAATTATTAAACAGGTATTTGATCCAGTTTTTTGTTCCATTACGTTGTTATGTGAGATGGATACCTTTTTTTACGCGTTTCTTATAAACTGCATAATTATTCACTATTGCCTATAGTGGAGTGAAAACGAGAAATGCTCTAATTCATGTCCTTATGCGTCAGTCTTATTTTAAATATATATTTTAGCACCACCATCATCATTAGCCCAGCTGGTTTGCTTGGACCGTAATGTACAGTTTCTCACATCTGGATATCTAAACCGCTCTTGGACTACTGGTTCTATGAGTAATATTTTCACAGTGCGTTTTATTGGATTGCTACATTCTTTCTGGCTGATTTTTTTTCTCTTTTATAACTGCTTATTGTTGAAAGCTTTGTGCTGTGCGCTAGAATTTTATTTTGTTCTCAACATTTTATCCTTTTTATGCTCAGTTAATTATGTGCAGGTGTTGCTTTCCAGTGAGTTCAAAGCTTTGTTTGCAACAAGTGCATTTGTGGTTCCATCATTACTTTATTTTGTTCTAAAGGTTTGGTTTTCTTAACATGCACCGTTGTACTCCATTCTCTCCTTTCTTTTCTGTTAATCACCTACTTTACTGATATTCTCTGCTTTACCTGTTAGAATTACGTGTTTTAATTCTCTCTTAATTACTGATGGAAGTTTTTCTAGTTTGCTTTTAGATAGTCTCTAATCCAATTAGTTGGACCATCACTACAGGAATTCACCGCTTTTCCTGCGGGATTCTCCGCCGGAAAAAGCAGAAAATCTATTGGAGATATTCTTTTCTGGTAGATTTCAAATGGAAATCATTCCGTCGGAAAAAACACGTCGGAAAAAAATACTGGCGAAATTTTTCCGCCAGAGATGTTTTCGACGAATTTCTTGCGGTATCCAAAATGATTTTTGTCGTTTTGCACTGGCGGAATTTGTGATACCATTCGGCAGGTCTACCAGTGATTATGACATAACATTTTGCTCCAAAAATGTCTCATCGATTTTCCGGCGAAATGTTCGTAAAAAATCTGTAGCTTAGACAAGAAACATTTTTTCACGCAAATATTGACCATTGAATAGCCCGAGCGGGCCCACCTCACGCACATTCTTCCAAATGATGCAACGGTTTACACAACCTTTCCCACTCACGGCACCAAAAAAAACCCAGCTCGCTCTCTCCTTCTCATTTGACTCTCATGCACGCAAGAACCGCTTACTCGTCCCTCTCGCTTGTCTCCCTCAGCCGCACGCAGACAGAATCGAAGACTCAAGCACTCTTGATCTTTCCCTTTCGTCTCTTTGTTCTTTATGCAGGAAGCCAAAGCCGCCAACACGTTACCTTCCCTCTCTCTTTATCTCCCTCAACCTCACATAGGAGTCGAACTTCCGCTCGCTCTCGTCTTCATCAGCCGTTCGTAAGAATCTCGCCCAGGTTGACTTGAGCCCAACCCTTATGGCCCCCATGCAACCCGTCTTGCTTGTCCCAACCTCTCGTCGCCAATTCGTGACCTATCTCCCTCGACCACACCGTCCGGGATTCATCCCGTTCCCGCGATTGACTCGACTTGGTGCCACGCATAGCCTCCAGCCCGACTCACTCGCCCGATCTGATTCCAATCCCAGCCCGTCTCTGACCTCTCTCACGCGCTACTTTCGGTTGACGTGAGTATAAGAATTTAACAATGGGGTGTTTTAAAAAAAAGAAACATAGAGAAAAGAAAAAAAAAACATGTATCACAAATATGAAGACCCGAAGATTTGTGTTGGGACCAATGATTGTCTGGAAGCCCTTGACTATCAAATATTTGATCTGGCTGGGCAGATTGAAATGCAAATGCCTTTCCAACCTCCCTTCTCAGAGAGGGGATGCCAAGAGGTTGCTGAATTTTTGAAAAAAAAAAGAAAATAAAAAGATAAGAAAAAATATAAATATATACTCTTTAAATAAAAAAAATAGAAAATAGGTACCATACAATTGAAGACTGAAGACCTGTGCCGAGACCAATCATCATCCCGAAGCCCTCGACCATCGAATCTTTGATCCGGTCAGGCGGATTGACAGTCAAGTGCCTTCCCAACCTCCTTTCATGGGAAGGGGATAGGCTGCCAAAAATTTAAATGATAAAGGACCCCCAACATAATTAACTAAAAATAAAAATTTAACAAATTCAATTAATTTGAAATAAGACAAAAATGATCTGATTCGATTTGAAGTTGAATTGATATATAATGCATGCATATCGGGCCCTATTTATTATTTATATGAACAAGTTTCCTAAAAGAAAATTAATATATTAAGGATCAAAATTGGTATCAGGATCTTTAGGAAGTTAATAATTTTCTTAGCTCATCAAGATCGTGCGCTCAAAGAAATAAAAAAATTATTTGGCCTACTCTCAAATCATGAATGACAGTGATTACATAAGCAAATCATACACATTAAAGATAAAATCACTCAAATATTCATCTCAAAATAAAATTTCATATTATATCCTCTACATCAATGCACTTCTTTGTTTTTCTTGGTCTCAATCAAATGTTCGAATCACTACTCAAGCACACATGAAGTTTTACTTTTCTTGCTTCATTTTCTTTCTATAATTGTTGAAAAGGAGGAAAATAATAAAAGTTATCTTTCAATAATTGGTCAAGTACGAAATGCATTGCATCTTGTTGAAAATGAGCAGAATTGTCCCAATAAAAGTGTGAGAAAAAAAAAGAGAGTATATAAAAGAGACGGAGAAAGAAAGAGAAGGCTGTAAGGGTTTAAAGTTAGAAGATGTTAGATGTTGATTCTTATTTGAAATATTAGCCCTGTTTTTCTTTAGGCCTGAGTTTTAGGCTATTTTACCTTTTTGCCCATTTGGGCTATTTTAGTATAAATAGGAGTGTCTTGTATTATTTAATATGGGAATGAATAAATCAGTTCAGTTTTCTTTCAAAAATTTGTGACCTCTCTCCCTCTATTTTCTTTATCTCTTTCTCGGTGGAAACAACAGAGAGTGGTTGGCTCTCGATCCAGGCAGGGAAATGAGCTAGCTGTGGAGGTGCAGCTACCAAGTGGACCAGCGGCCGGAGTCTCAGTGCTGTTGCTGGCCATGGAGAGGAAGTTGCAGTTGTTGGAGTAAGGCAAGGAAGGTTCTATTGCTGGATTGGTGTTTTTGAATTCAAGATCTATGTTCTTTCAAGATGTCTTAAACAGAAGGTATTAGGGCATTCATCCATTGTAATTTTGATGAAGAACAATCAATATGTTTGCCATGCTGAAAGGAGTTCTTTGAATAATTGAATCCAAAGCAACTATGAGTACTTTTAACAAAAAACAACCCTCTAAGTAACATTCAGTAGATTTATCATTAAGCAATGGCTCATACACACTATGTTAATCAATTGTGCACTAATTACTATTATTCCTCTGAAATTTTTTGGAGGTTAAGGATTTGGCAGGCTGTCTAATAATAAAGTATAAAGAAATTAATGATGCTAATGAAATAGTAAATTGGGCTCATTAAATTATATATTGATTTGGTTTATTACATCAGGTAATCTAGGTCTCGTGGGCACCACTTGGAGCCACGAAAAATGCAACTTGTAATAGACATTAATGAGACTTCACAAGTGATGATAAGAAATAATTTAAGCAATTAATAGAGCTGTTTGATAGGAAACACTTGTAGAAATAGAAGAAAAACTTTGGTTGAAATTTGTCAAAATCTCAGTCATCCCTTGGCATTTGATCCCACAGTCAGGATGAGAATCCGTGGGAGGCTCACCTCGATCATGCCAATATCCTTCTATATTTGGGTAGCTGAATTAGGAAGGATTATATTGAGGCAATTATGTATCAATTAGAAGTTATTTATTTCTTTATTAAGACATCTTGTATAGATCTATAAATAGGGATAATTTTGTATAATAATTAGAAGGTATTTTTACCCTTCTTAAATTCTATGAATTCTAACATGATATCAGAGCCAACGACCTTAATTGCCGATTGAAGAATGATCCTAGAATCATCGGAGAAAAAGAAGAACAGGAATAAATCGGAGCTGCCAGACACTGCAGATGCTGCTCCGACTCAGACGAACGCAAGCAGATAGAGTCGAACAACAGACACCGCCCGAAGCTGCCTACTGTTCCGGACGAATGCGGCTTGCCCTCAGCTTTTGATCCGGGACGGGATCGTATGGATCGACCGCTCTGCAAACATTAAACCCCAAAGCCTGAGGCTGAAGCCGGAAGTCTCGATCTTCTGCGGAGAAGCTCAAGCCTCGTGGACAGACAAAGCCATGCGGGACGATCGAAGCCTCGCGAAGACAAAGCTTTCAAAAGGACGGAGCTGTGCCGATGAAGCCAAATACTCGACAGAACCTACGGGATGAGCGACTCGATCAGAACTTCCAATCCGAGACGATGGAGCCTAGTCGAACAACCACATAGGAGTCGAAGGAGCGTCGTACCCGATCTGACAGAAAGGGAAAGTCGACGAAGGAGCGAAGCAGCCCGCTCGACCCCCCCTTTCGATCGCACATCCCAGACGATCCACGCCTGCGACTCGCTGGAGGAAGCCAAGCCCGCGTGCGACTTGGGGGGTGGAATCTCAACCTGTGCCCTACTCCAATCTGAGCCTTTTTTTAAGGCTCGTCCGGTTCGATTTAAAAAAGAAAATAAAAAACAAACAAACTTTTTTAGTAAAAAAAAAAGAAAAAAAGGAGAGAAAATCTTTATCATTGACCTTTATTGTCGACAAGGGAAAATTTATTCGAGAAGCCTTCATTGTTGAATTTCTGAGGAATACAAAGTTCCCACCATCGGCCTTCATTGCTGGAATTCTGAGAAATACAGGTTTCCACTACCGGCCTTAATTGCTGGAATTATGGAAAATACATGTTCCCACTACCGGCCTTCATTGATGGAATTCTGAGGAATACAAATTCCCACAACCGACCTTAATTGTTGGAATTTTGAGGATAATTTTTCATCATCAGCCTTCATTGCCGGCTTTCTCTTGTGGTTGATATCCTATTTATAACTAATGCATCTCTACCTCTGAGCGAGTAATTGCAAGATTGTCTCCAGCTTGAGGGGGAGTGTCAAAATCTCAGTCATCCCTTGGCATTTGATCCCACAGTCAGGATTAGAATCCGTGGGAGGCTCACCTGGATCACGCCAATATCCTTCTATATTTGGGTAGCTGAATTAGGAAGGATTATATTGAGGCAATTATGTATCAATTAGAAGTTATTTATTTCTTTATTAAGACATATTGTATAGATTTATAAATAGGGATAATTTTGTATAATAATTAGAAGGTATTTTTACCCTTCTTAAATTCTATGAATTCTAACAAAATTTAATTTCAACAAAGTCCAAATTGTAATTGAGAAGAACGATGTGAAAAACTAGTATAAAAGCTTTTTAGTTGATGATACATGAAAGAAAACGAACAAGTTACAATGGATCTTCAATTGGAAAGGAAGATTCATCTCTCTCAAATCTCTAGCTGCCGACTAGGAGCCCAAACGTCCTAGG